AAGATTCTTTTTTGGGGGAGCAACACTGTACTCATTTGAGTAAAATGGTTGTGGGTCTGTGTTTATCCTTTAAAGAAATGGACACAAAGTAAGCAATGCAAGAGCCTGAGGAGATGGCTCAGTAGGTAAAGTGCTTGTCACGAATGCGTGAGAACCTGCCTTTCTTATTTTTTGGAACACGTTCTCACTGTGTAGTCCTCACAAATCTGGAACTTCCTATGTAGACCAGGCTGGCATTGAACTCACAGAGATCTGCCTGTCTTCACCTTTCAAGTGCTAGGATCTGAGTATGAGTCCCAGCACCCCTAAAAAAAAATTCCAAGGATAGTAGTGCCTGCCTGTAATCCTAAGGCTGAGGAGGCAGACATAAGAGATTACAGGGGCATGCTGACCTGTTAGCCTAGCCTAGTCAGGAAATAAGTGGGGGAGACTCTAAGTGAGAGAGAGACTATCTAAAAAAGTGGGGCACAATTGAGAATGACCTCTGGTCTACACACACACACACGCACACACACACACACACACACACACAGAGAGAGAGAGAGAGAGAGAGAGAGAGAGGTACACACATACTCATATAAAGCATATACATTAAATAAAGAATGTTTTCTACTTCCATCCATTTGCCTGCAAATTTCATATCATTTTCACATTTTCTTTATTCATTCTTCTGCTGAGGGACATGTAGGTTGTTTACAGCTTCTGACTGTAATGAATAAAGCTCCTGTGAACATAGCTGAGCAAGTGCCCTGTGGTAGGATGGAGCATCCTTTGGCCATATGCCCAGGAGTGGTATGGCTGGGGTCTTGAGGCATCCTGAGTGAGGTAACCCAGGCCCAGAAAGAAAAGTATGGTGTGCATTCATTTATACGTGGATATTAACTGTAAGTCAAGGATGATCATGCTACAAGCCACAGACCCAAAGAGGGTGAGTAACAAGGAGGGCTCAAGGGGTGAGGCACATGTATCTCCCTGGGAAGGAGGAAAAGAATAGATTTTTGTGGGTGCACTGGGGGTAGGTGGGGATGGGAGCAGAAGGGATCAGGCTGGGATCCTGCAGAAGAAGGGAAGGAAGCATTGTAGAAGCTAGAAGGGTCAAGGACAACACAGGAACGCAGGTCACAGAATCAACCAAGCAGAGCTCATAGAGGCTCACAGAGACTGAACTGGCAATCAAGGAGCCTGTATGGGTCTGACCTAGGTCCTCTGTATATATATACACATATATACTATGGTTGTGTAGCTTGGTGTTCTTATGGAACTCCTAATATTGTGAGCCGGGGCTGCCACTGACTCTTTTGTCTGCTTTTGGGACCCTTTTCCTCCTACTGGGTTGCTGCATTCAGCCTTGGAATGAGGGTTTCTTGTCACTTGTTACAATGTGTTTGGTTGATAGCTTCCAGAGAAGTGAGGGAAATGGAGGAGGAGTGGATATGGGGAAGAAAAGATGCAGGGGGAGAGGGAGGGACTGGGAGAGAGGAGGGAGAGGAAAATGCAGTCAGGATGTAATATATGAGAGAAGAAGAAATAAGAAGAAGAAGAAGAAGAAAGAAGGAAAGAGTATGTTAAGCTAGTTTAGTGGTTATTGTGTACAATTGCAATTGGTGGGTACAATCAAAGCTTTAGGAGAAACTTCCAAAATGTCCTAAAATGCTTCTCTTTAGGCAAAAAGTGCATCTTTAATTACTCAGAAAGCTTCAATGAGGGCATGAAGAGATGAAAGAGACTTAAATAGACGACAGACTTTATAAAGTGGTGGGAATATGATCCATATAATATGCTTTATGTGACTGAATTTTACAGAGACATCTGCACCCCTCTTGCTGCCTGACAACAAGGTGCTGTACTTACCAAGCTAGAAAGCTGCAAATGGATCATAGCAATGAGAATGGTTCACGCCCCACCTCTGGCATGCAGACATTTTAGAGGGGTGGATAGCATCCTCAGACCTGTCTGTGCTGTTGTGTGAACTGGTTACTTTTTTTATTTATATATTTATTTATTACAATTTATTCACTTTGTATCCCTGCAGCAGCCCCTCCCTTGTCTCCTTCCAGTCCTACCCACCCTTCCTCTTCTCCCCTTATGTTCTTTCCCTAGTCCTCTGATAGGGGAGGACCTCCTCCCCTTCTATCTGACCCTAGCTTATCAGGTCTTATCAGGGCTGCCTGCATCATCTTCCTTTGTGGCCTGGCAAGGCTGCACTCCACAGGGGGAAGTGATCAAAGAACCGGCTATTGAGTTCATGTCAGAGACAGCCCCTATACCCCTTACTAGGGAACCCACTTGAAAACTGAGCAGCTCATGGGCTTCTTTTGAACAGGGGGGTCTAGATCCTCTCCATGCAAGGTCCTTGGTTGGAGTATCGGTCTCTGCAGGCCCCTTGGGCCCAGGAATTTTGGCTCTGTTGTTGTTCTTGTGGAGCTCCTGTCCCCTCTAGGTCTCTCTATCTCCTTCTTCTTCCATAAGGATTCCGGCACTCTGCCCAAAGTTTGACTATGAGTCTCAGTATCTCCTTCAATACCCTGGTGGGTAGAGTCTTTCAGAAGTCTTCTGTGGAAGGCTCCTGTCCTATTACTTGTCTTCTCCTACTTCCGATGTCTATCCTGTTTGCCCTCCTGAATGAGGATTAAGCATCTTCCCTCTGGTCCTTGTTGTTTAGCTTCTTTAGGGTTATAAATTTTATCTTATATTATATGGCTAATATCCACTTATAAATGAGTATATATCATTTGCATCTTTCTGCTTCTGAGTTACCTCACTCAGGATGATCTTTTCTAGCTCCCACCATTTGCCTGCAAATTTCATGATTTCCTTGTTTTTTGTTGCTGAGTAGTATTCCATTGTGTAAATGTACCATGTTTTCTGTATCCATTCTTCTGTTGAGGGACATCTAGGTTGTTTCCAGATTCTGGCTATTACAAATAGAGCTGGTATGAACATAGTTGAGCAAATGTCCTTATTGAATGGTGGGGCATCTTTTGAGTATATGCCTAGGAGTGGTATAGCTGGATCTTGAGGTAACACTATTCCTAATTTTCTGAGGAAGCGCCAGATGAATGGCTTACATTTACAGCTACTTAATACACTCTTTTTCAGAGGACTATTTAATGTAAGTCAACTGTGTAGTTACTGAGTAGCCAGAGACTATAAAGAATTGTTGAGTTTAGGACTTTTGTAGTTTTCTTAGGGACATATACATTCAGGGAAACTGAAGCCACTTACAAAACCAACTACAGTGAAGGGATATTGGGACTGTCTCAGTATGTTATATGAAGAGAAAAAGGATAAAAGAAGTATCCAGAATGGAGTCCTGAGGAGAGTGGAAAGGGAATTTCAGGGTGAGTGGCCAGTATTTTTACTGGAGGAATAGACAGTTCTGACTATGAGGTGCAGGGAAATGGAGGTGGAGACCAGGAAGGGCCCAGGCACCAGGAGGCTCCGGGAGGGTGGCAGCCGTTCTCATAAGGGCAGTGCATAGAAATGGTGGCCACAGAAAACCTATAAACATATCTATGTAGGTTTTGTTTTTTAGACTAAAAACAAAAGCAAATGATTTCTTAAAGCTCAGCTGCTTTTCACATGCAAATACCTACGATATAGACAACGAACGAGTCCATCTTCCACTATAAAGGCTGCCACATTAGCTATGATGCTTGTCGGCCCTGGGGTCGAAGTAAGAATCATTCCGAACCTCATAAAGACCTACCTCCTTCTCGTTCCCTCATTTGCTCTTGGGTTCTATTAGAACCCATGAAATGACATCTTAAATATTGCTGAAAATAGGCTTGTTGGGGAATTTCTCCCCATGGCTCTGTAGGAGGGCTCTGGTGGAGATGAACAATGTCCTACTCTGTGGAACCCCGTGCTTGGTGACCCAGACATTTCAGTTAGGACCTTGCCAGCAGTAAGCCTTCCAACAGGAATTTGGACAGTCTGTATGGGGGTCATACGGCGAGGTCAGAGTTCCCACAGGCTGCATCTACACTGCATTGGTCTAGAGGCTGCACAGTGCTGAGTTTTAAAAGGTGTGTGTTTTTTTTAAGTGTTTGTTTGACAACAAACACTATTGAAAAAGTATTTAAAAGGTTATGCTATTTCTACATCCTTAGAAAAGCTGAAAAAACAGACACAGAACAATGGGAGGAGAAATGCAAACACGTCCATCTATCTTCTACTGGCCTTTTAAGGATCTAAGGATCAGAAATAGCAAAGTCTAAACTTTCCTAGTCTTTTCCAGGGATTGGGGTGAGTCAAATTACCTCCCATGTGGCACTCGCTTATGTCAAAGGAAAGTAATATTCTGTGGATACCATCCAAAACTTTGAAATTTATAGACGGGTAGTGATATGAGAACCAAGCAGCAAAAACCTTGGGGCAAACTCTGAAATTTATTATTGGTGCCTCCTTCCCTCTACCGTAAGTCCTAGGTGACAGGTCACCACGATAGAAGATAGGAAATCTGGAGAAACAACTGGCCACTGGCTTGGATTTCCTGAGAACGTAAGATCAAGTAGCAATGGAAGGAGAAATAGCATGTGGTGTGCTACCAACGCCATCACGGAGGAGGCAGCACCAGTATGGACAGGAAGGATTTCCCTCGGGTTTGCAGAGACTGAGCAGAGAGAGTTCATGGGGGCGTCTGAGGGCAGCTGCCAGTGCACTTACCTGTGACTTTTTTTAAAAGAAGATTTTTATTTATTTATTTAAGGTATGAGTGCTCTACCTGCATATGCACCTGCACGCCAGAAGGGGGCACTAGAAGAAGGTATAGATAGTGTTGGGTTAAAGGTGTGCCTCACCATGTCCAGGGGGAGACCTGGGGCCGAGCTCAGCGTTCCTCCCACACGAGGAACTTGAGAGTTTTAAGTTCCAGTTGAGGGGACAGAGATAGAGGAAGGAAGGCTGGCCTCAAAAGGTTTTGAAGTTCACAGGGAAATATATATATTTTTTCCCCCAGAGAAAGCATTTGTTCCTTTGCAGGAATCTCGGTTACTCACTGTTAAGTAGACGGAAGTCAATGAATGGGTAGGAGCCGCGGCGTTCGGCAGCAACCCCCGTCTGACCCCTTAATCGTACATCTCCTGGAAAACAGAAAATCCAAACAAATGTTTGAAGGCGTTTGCCAAGCATATTCGCTTTTCTTCAGCAAATCCCCCTAACCAGTTATGTCAGCGGAAACAACACAAGATATTAGAAAGACCGAAGAGAGTGCTAGGTGGGAAGGGCTTAATTAATGCCGAGCATGACTGTCCGCTAGGACTGTATCAAATGGACCACCGCTCTCTTGTATCTACCTGGTCTGAAAATGTCAACAGACTGCAAAGGTTTCCATCATCATCGTACACTTCCGAGGGGCTGTAGAGGTGGAGCAGCTGGCCCCGGGAGGATGGATGGCATTCTGGGGTTGTAGCTCCTCCCTTACCAGATGTTATGGCCTAAGGCGTTGTTTTCTGATGGTGTCCACTTTCTTTGCCCCTAGGTTGTGTTATGGGTGAATATTAAAACCTGTCAGCCCAGCTCAGGAAGTGTTTTAGACTCCTAGCTACCCTTGCTCTCATGATAGTCCGCAGTTTTTCCAGTACGTAACCTCTTTGCAACGCCTTCCAGTGGCTGCCTTCATATCCCTTTCCGGTGTGTATGTCCGGCCTTCCCACCCCAGGGAGGACAGCAAGTAGAGAGGACACAGTGGACACGGGAATGAAGCAGGCCTGAAAAGACCTCGTCTGGATGTTTGCTCCCGGTGATATCTTGGGAAGCATATTTCTCTCTGCCTCAGGTGTCTCTTCAAATGGAAAGGATTGCTTCAAAGTGCCTGCGTCTGACATGACACTGGCTGCTTGGCCGTGGCTCTTGGCCTGCCTTCTCCCAGGATCCTGCAAAGCAGGGTCCGTGCACATTATGTGATCTGCATTTTTCCATTGAGCTTTGTTATTTCACATCTTGTGGACTCCCAGGAGATGCAGAAATCCATGAGCTGGGACGTCCTTCTGGAAGAGCCGAGCCAGGGCAGGTTCTAGAATCATCAATTCCAGGAACAACTGGCCACCTCCCGTGAGCCATTTTCCCCAGACCTGCTAGCAAACATTCTCAGCCTGGAAGCAGAGAGGAGGGGCTGTGTGCTCTGATCTTTGGGGTTAGCCAGACCTGGTGAAAGCCCCACTGCCACCTGGCATGCTGGACCTGGGGTTATAGAGTACAACCAGGAGCACTAGGAACAGTCTCTGTTTCTACTTTACAGTACTGCCTCCTGTGTCCTGTTTTGAGTAATCTGACATTTCATTGTGTTTCTGGTGTTGGAGATTTTTATAATTTAGGGACTAAAGACTGAAAAAAAGAAAAGATAATTTTTAAACCAGAAAATGCAAAGTCAAAGGACGAAGGAGGAGATGAGAAGTCAGCTTGAAGATGTGAGAGTTATTTGCTGAGCCTAGTGGTGCAGCCTATGTCATCTCAATAGTCAGGAGGCCGAAGCAAGGAGGGGCAGGACTTACCGGCCAGCCTGGGCTATGTAGCAGTGCCCCATGTAACAAAACACACAAACTCTCTCTCTCTCTCCCACACAGAGAACAGCTGAAAGGCCACTCCGAAGTAAAAGGTTTCTTCTCCATTGTATTACCTTGAACACCTACACTTGTAATACTTCCGATTTCACAAAGCTTTTTTTTTTTTTTAAATGGATTCATTGTCATGTGTCTTTCATTGGATGTTTATTATAGGCTGGTGAGGAGAAATACTATTATACTCCTTATTTTATAGCTGAAGATAGGGTAGCTCAGAGAGACCACTGTGCTTTCCCCTGGGGCCTCAGCAAAGGGCTCAGGCCCCTAACAAGCTCCCAGGAAGAACACTGGCTATGGTGCTTTGCTCTTGCAGCGGGCAGAGCTGGTGTTAAGTCCAGGTTCTTACACTTCATGTGCAGGGCTCTCTCAACACCTCATCTAACAGCTCATGGACTCGATTTTCCAAATGAAACAAAAAGGAGATCTCAGATCCCTACACTGGGGAATTTGGACTTCTAGTAGCCACAGAGAAAAAGATGGCGTATGTACCACAAATGCGTCCAGGCCTGATGAAAATGAACCTATAGCTCATTATGACATATGGCTGACACATGCTTTAAAGATCTAGACAACAACCAATCAAAATGCAGGGAACAGGTGGCCATGTGATGACCAACCCAGCTGTTGTGTCTGCAGCACAACTCCTGCACCCAGCAGGGCTGAGGGATCACGGCAAAAGAAGGGGCGGAAAGAGCGTACGCGCCAGAGGGGCAGGAGTGTGCCATGAGATTTCATCTCTTAGAATTGGTAGAGAAGCTACTCACAGGCAGTCTCATCAACATGGCTGCCTAAACAGACCTGGTCAAGGATGACACCAATAGCCATGTGAGCACGGGAGGGGGATCAGTAACTGGGCCTCTACACTGGACAAAGAACTACATGCAACCAAGGAATGCTGAGAGCAGAAGACATCATCTTCCCCATGGAAGAGCCCCTGAGCTGTTCTTCCAATGCAGAGAAATCATCCCCGAGATTATACGAACAACCAACATTATGTGGACTAAGCAGGTTGTGTTTCTATATGTAGGAGAGAAAGAGAGAGAAAGAAAGAGAGAGAAAGAGTGAGTGTAGCAACAGAGAGTGAAGAAACAGGCCATGAACTTGAGGTGGGGCACATGGGAAGATTTGGAGGGAGAAAATGAAAGGGGGAAATGACATAATTATATTTTAATTTCAAAAAATATTTTAAAAGTGTTGATGCATAGATGTATTGTCTAGTCTTATGTCAACTTGACACACACACTACTTGTCTTGAAAGGAGGGAACCTCAATTGAGAAAATGTTTCCATAAGATACAACTGTAATATATATATATATATTTTAAATTGGTAATTGCTGGGGAAGGGCTCAGGCATCCCTGGGAGGGTGGTCCTGGGTTCTATAAGAAAGCAGGTTGGGTAAGCCATGGGAAGCAAGCCAGTAAGTAGCACCTCTCTACAGTCTCTGCTGCAGCTTTTGCCTCCAGGAACCTCCAGGTTCCTGCCCTGTTTGAGTTCCTGTCCTGACTTCCTTCAATGAGTAACAGCAATGTGGAAGTGTAAGCCAAATAAACCCTTTCCTCCCCAACTTGTTTTTTTGGTCGTAGTATTTTCACTGCAGCGGTAGAAACCCTAACTAAGACAGTAGGTGTTCCTATGAAGCTGACTGGGTTTGTAGCTTTGTTGACCTATTGTTATCATGCCTTGGGTTTACTCTGAGTTTTCAGGCTTGCTATTTGAGTTGATGGACCTTAAACCCTCTTGCTAGTCCTTGGGGGGGGGTATTAAATGATAGTTTTTAGAGAGTATTAAGCCATGTTAAAATGAGTTTTTATAGAAGATTAAGCCATGTTATAAGTACTAGTAAGGCAAGAGGAAGCCTATATCTTAGAAAGATTTTTAAACATGAATCTGAATAAAAATAAACTGGGCATGCCCTATTATGGGCCTTCTTGCTGTTGGAGGAAGATGGATATTTTAAACACATACACTTATCTATGTTATGTTTCATTATTTCTGCTTCCAGAAGCCCCTCTGGTGTTGAACAGTATGCTGGTGAGAAGAGAAATACTGGAGTAAAGATGTCCTCGGGAGAGCTGAGGCCACTGGGCTTCAGGAGAGAACAAGTGACAGCGTTCTTGTAGCAGTGTTCTCACTGGCCCCTGGTCCGGGCAGCCGTCAGACTACTCAGGGCCTTATATCCAAGCTAAACAATTATTTTGACTATTCATTAAGCCCTTGTTTAACTTCAGCAGCTCTTTTTTCCTGGCAAAGGAAAGGTGCGGTGGAAGCTGGGAGGAAGCGCTGACAGCTCCGAGTTGTGTCCTCAGTCTGTTCTTATTGTGTTCCAAAAGGAAGCAAACAGCAAGGGAATTCTTCTTTTGAAAGGACTGCTGCTCTTTTGCTCCTTTGGAGCTGAAAGCATAACATGTCGTCCTTGGTCCCGAAGGCTGCAGACGCAGGCAAAGAGCTGAGCTGAGTCATTCCGGGAGCCAAGACCCAGAGACAGTCTCCGACTCCCCCAGGGGACATAGCTCCGGACGGACCTCTTGCCCACTTGGCCTCTCACACGGTGTCTGTTTAATAAGAGCCTGCACGAGGGAGCAGACGGCGATGTGGCCTCTTATGTAACAGGCAGAACGTGGAGACACTGACAGTGATGACAACTTACAGTGGCTGAAACATGGGCCACTTGACAAGAACCAGCCTCCTGCCCCATCGGGTGGTTCCAAGGTCATTTTGGGGTGAGCAGAGGACCTAGGGAAGGGCATGAGCAACAGCTGCTGTGTTCTTGTGATATCTGAGGAGAAGGAGGGCGGTGAGAACGATTACGGTCGGGAGTTCACGGTAGGGCCGTCAGAGATGAACCTGAAGAAGGCGGTAGTGGCATCAAAACACGAAACCCTCAAGCCAGCCAAACATGGTGGAGAGAGCGAAGCTCTGTAGACAGCCATTCCCTTGAGCCTGTTAGTGAGTCACGTCACTGCTGTTCCTTGTAAAGCAAAGACAGAGAGAACCAGTCCCATACCTCAGACCCGGGCTCTCAGCACGCTCCCTGCCTTCCACTGCAGGGTTGTTTACTAAAGGTCTTTCAGGGGCTAGCCACTGGGAGAGTGACCAAGCCCTAGAGGGCTATAGGAACACAAACTGCACTTGGAATATTACAGTCTTTTTTTTTTTTTTTTTTTTTTTGTGTGTGTGTGTGTGTGTGTAGGGTATAAGGGTGGAAGGATGGACTTGGGAGAATGAAGAGCAAGTGTGAAAGAGGTGCATTGTATAAAATTTCCAAATAACCAGTAAAAATATTATGTGTGTGGGGGGGGGACGGGGGAAGGACGTGTTCCCCTCAGACACCTAACTGGCTTAACAAAGGGAAGTTTCTTCATCTGTTGACTTATGGGACAGCATAAACAGTCTGTGTATGTACCTCAGGCAGCTATATTGTCTGTTAGTGTTGTTTTCCATGAGAGAACCAGCGGGGCTGACTAGACCCAAATTTTCCTCAGAGAATTTCACTCTTCCACTCTTGTTTGAAATAGGGTC